CAGGGAGAAATGGTGATAGATGAACCATAAGCAGCTGTTTCTAAAAATTTCTGGCAAGCCTGTTAAAATTATCTCCTTCAGATTTGTAGACTGGAAAGGGAAACCCTTGATAGCATCCTGCAGTAGACAAAAGCTCATATACAGTATAGGCAAAGTGGGAGATTATGTCCAGAATTTTACAAATAGTCTGTGGAGCCACAGAACAAGAGAAATGCAGTAAAACGTGCCTTTGCAGACAGTGATGCGAAGGTGATACTCTGACCCAGCCAGCAAAGACCCTTGAGTAGACAAGAGTTTGGCTTCAGCAAAGGAACTTCAGGAGTTAGACTCAAGTATTTATTTATCTTCCTCCTTCTGCATCCGTAGATTGGCCCATTAAACAGATAACTCTTGAGTCATACGCTTATTTAAGAAGCCTGCTAGATGTTGGAAAAGTATCCATATCAGATAGCTGTGTATGAAAAGAAAACTTACAGCCGCCGCTTAACCCACTTTGCTCTGCACGTGTACCTGTCCAAGTGCAGTAGGATGATGCATGCCTGGAATAAAGACAAACCGAGCCTTGTACTGGCTGTGAGCCACCAACCACCTGCAGAAGGTTTGCTCTCAGGCCCTTCATTATTGCAGTGTGATGGCTTATGCCTCTCACCTGCCATTTTGTTTGTCCCTGCCTCTCCACCAATGTGACCACACTCTGCGTGGCATACCACGGGCCTGGATTTGACTCAGGAGGTGCAACACTGTACAGTGGCTTTTTGATTCACCTGGGCTTCCTCAGGCAAAGGCCCAGAGCCACTGTGGGGCAGAGGCCTTATGAAAGGCTGACAAACGCTACCTGCCAACCCAACGGGAATCAGGTCACCTGTGAAAGTGGAGGAAAACTGCGAGGAGCACAACTATTATGGGGCAAAACCTCTGCCTTTTTGAGATCCACCTATCACAGCTGCTTTCTCTGCGCTCTCTGCAGAGGACTAGAACAAAACCTTCTCTGTCTGGTTTTGGGGTAAGGGAGGATGGCAGGAGCTCTTCTCTGCACCGCAGAGAGATTTTTATTTTCCTTCTTCTTTCTTTTTTTATTTTGTTTTATTTTAACTTACCTCATGCTACCTCACAGCATGGTTGCATCTCCATAGCCCCTTGCTCAGACGTGTTCATCGCTGGCACGATGGAAGACAATTCCCTGCTTGGGGAAAACACCTCCAGGTTCCCCCCAAGAACGATGCCCCTTCTGCAGCACTGTCTGGTGTCCCCACCGCTGGTTTCCAGCCCACAGGCCAGGGTTTCCAGTGGGATAAAGGTGGTGTAACGAGCTCAGGGATGCTGTGGTATGTCAGGCCTCTCGGCAGCTGAGCAACAGTGTGAGAGCCAGGTCTGACAGAGCTCTGCTGTGTCTTGAGTATCTCTGCATGGAGACCAGAGCCACCTCTAACGGGTTTAAACATCTCCCTGACATATCCTTAACCAGGACACTTTTGCAGGACAGAATCTGTATGTAACAACCTCCTATCTTCTAATAAATAAGTCTCTCTAAAACAGATTCCTCTTTGTCTGGGCTCTGATTTTTATCACTGCATGCATTTAAGGGCTTCCCATCCCAGCACTGCTGCATTACACCATTGTTTTCACTGAGATAAAGACCCTGCTGTAGTAATATAGTCTTTTATGTCCCTTTGAACTAGAGTTGGGCTACCTGAGTGGTCAAGGCACACAGATGAGCCCTCCAGTTGCTGTAGCATAAATATAGGCCATGGAAGACACAGAACATGTAAAGAGTTTTAGCAGCTCATGGAATGTCTTCAGTGAACCCTGGAGCTCAGCTTCGTGCATGGCGTTAGGACAAGACAAAGCACCATGTTTTTGTTCAACTTTGGCACTCAAGAAAGCAGTGATGGAAAAGAACAGCAAAAAGCCTACTGAGAATAGGTTTGTGGTCTTTAGAACAAATGTTTCATTTGTTCTAAAGACCACAAACTTCAGGCTTTTTTCCAGTTCTTTTGGGAGAAGACATTCTTGAGAATGTCCAAACTCAGATCATAGCTTAACATTCAGAGCTGTGGGATCTGGCCCTTCCAGGCAGCTGGGCACCAATGTTCTTGCCTTTTAGAGAGCAGGGTCTTGAAAGAAGCTGTTTTTGCTGCTTAATTTTATTGCAGGTCTGCTCTGCTAGCGGAGCTCACCCTGATTTGGGAACATGCCATGGCATAGGGAGGGTGGATACGGGGGATGACACAGTCACCCTGCCCTACTGCAGCTCCCCTCATGGGGAAGCTGAAATATTAAAGTAAAACCTAAATTTGAAACACATTTTACATTAATCAGGGAAATTGAAGTAATAAATTATTCCATCTCGTCAGAAATGGAAGACAGTTTATAGGGTTCCCTTCAAAGATTATTATTAATGACATAGAAGATAAGATTCTCAAATACCACCTATGGAAAATTACTTTCAAGCACCCAGAGGCCATGTTTTTTCCTCAAATCATATATTTGGCATTTCTCACCTAAATTCAACAACTGGAAGGGCAGGATGAATGTCTTTGCCTTGCATGGGCCACCCAACATTGCATACATTTTGTCACACTTTTTCTGAGCTTGTCCACTTGCTGAGGACAGAGACACCGATCCACCCCCACCCAGGGACCATGCAGGAGCATGGGGGGGGCCGTGGCTGGTGCATGTTAAAATTAATTCATTAACAAATAGACTGCAAAGCTCCAGAAAGTAATTTGTCATGATTCACTACCCACGCCTTGAAGAAAACGAAGGCACAAACAAAAGCCCTATCCAACCAGGGTGAACACAGTTATTTATTTATTTTTGCCTTTTGCGTATTGATTTATTTCAGACCCCATTGTCCAAAGCTTTGCAGCAAGGGGATTTTGTACACACAAATATCACTACATATATTTTGATGGAAACTGTACTGAGAGCTGGAATACAGAGCTACCTTGGAGGCCTGAGACAAAGTCATGGAAAACTGTCCCTACTGTCAGCTCAGGATCAGCCCTAAAAACAAAAATGTAAGGGAGAAAAATCCATGGAAGGAAAAGGTTACAGACATTTTCTCAAAGAGAACAGGAAAAAGAACAGGAAAGGAAGAGTTTACCAGAATTCTGTAGATGAAGGAACACTTGGAGCATCCCTGTAGCTGCATGTACACGAGCTCCAAGGGAGCGGCAATGGGAATAAATTGCAGAAGGAAAGTGATTCCTCTTTGGGGTAGTTCTGGTGACAGCAGGTTCCACTGAGGCTCCTCCAAATCACTGCTCTAGCTCTATAAAGATATTTTACACTGATGCCTACAATGAAAACAGGCAGGGAGATGGAGAAGGTGATAAAGCCTAAGGATCACTCCCCATGAGAGGCAACAAAGCCATTGCCTCTCATTGAGTTTAGTGGGATTCAGCTGACACTGTGAGCCACGGCAAAATACTGCTGCACAGTGCAGACCTCTCTGTTGGGGCTGTCTCAATGCTCCATCTTAATCTCAGCTGCAGAATACCCTATGGGCTCTGGAAAGTCTGGAGAGCCATGTTGATTTAAAGTACCTTTATCGAGAGCAGCCCTGCTGCAGGAGCTCAGACATTACCTCATGCATAAGTACGTTATAGTGGTTAATCTGTGAAATATTTTTAGATAACAAAATTAACCGGTTCAAAACTTAATTAATCCTATTTCTTTCCCAAATGGCTTCCTTCAAATAGTACTTGGAACAGTTTTACTTTCCCCCATTGTCTGCCTAATACACTGATGAACTTTTCCTTCTGAGCTTCTCCTTCTTTTAATTGTCTGCTCATTCAACCATCCCTTCTGATAATTGAGTTAATAATATAGAGACATCTTTAGAAATTAAACTTTTTTTCTCTGTTAATCAAAAGCAGAACTTCTTATTGTTGTTTAGAGGGCTGTTTTTTAACTTTCTTCATTAAGAAAAAAAAACCAAAACCAATAATGGCTTTGGAAATATTGGCAACATTTGAGAAACCACCTGTTTCAGAGGTGTTGGTGAAGATATTATTTTGTATTAAATAATGAAGATTTCTAGGGAATTTCAGTCAGCAAATGTTATGCTCACATAATGACTGTAGATTGAGCAAAACAAAGAGAAACCAAAGGAAATCAAATACCAGTGAGGAGTTTGGGTGCTGCTAACTCATACCAGCTAGCGTCCTTTTCTGTGTAGACAATTCCTAAGGCTCTATCTATGAAGACAGCATCAGTTTCACCTCCTTGGTCATTCATATTTTTTCCAGTTGTAACCTGTTCTGCAAATTTGGTCAGTATTCAATGAAAGATTAAACATTCCTGCCTTGCTCCACCTGCCAAGAGAAATCTGCCTTCAATGAACCACGTGGAGCCCAAGCATGTGTCAGTCTCCCACGGCACATCCATGGTAGCCTGGCTGGCATACAAAGCCAACATCTCATTAATGCTCTGTAGCATTTGACTGAACCAATGGTCAATCATTTTCAACAGAGGCAAAAGAAGTATTCTTCCATCATGCCCTATGGCAGACAGACAACAGCCCAGTTGGAGTTCAAATTCTGCCAGTGAGGAAAAGGCCTTCACATAAGCATGCTGAGATAGATTACATATATACATACACACATAGGCATGTATGAAAGATATGTAAGTATACATATATTTACATGCATATACATAGCATATAGATAGACAGTATGTATCTCTCAGCTCTTGTTTGTCACGTGAGTGCTTCTGGACAGCCTGAACAGGGGAGAATGGTGTTGACACCAGCAACACAAGGAATTCAACATGGTGAAAAGCGGGGTCAGAGCACTCAGCAGCAACTAACCTTGCCATGCAGTAAACTAAAAAATGCTTAGGAAACAAACGGGCAACCCCTGCCAGCCTTGCTCAAGCAAGCACTTGCACTAAACCCATACTGCCCTGAGTAATGGCTGACCCACCTCACAGCAATCAGGAAGGGGCTGATACTCTGCTAGAAATCTTTCATTGCTTGATCAAAGGTCACAGTGGGAAAGGCTTTGATCAGTCAGGGCAAAGCACAACACTGAAGAATTGCTCAGAAATGGCATGAAAGAGGAAAGCAGACTGCTGCCCCTTGCCCAACACAGCAATAGGGAGTGGGAGGAGGCTGCTAAAACTTCACAGGAGACTGCTCAAAGATCTCCAGTCTTTGAAAACTGCCATGGAAAAGCAGAAGGGTTTAAGCAGCTCACATGGATTACAGCACTGAATGGAGCTTGCCAGGAATTATGAGAGAAGAGCTGGGGGGTGTAGCAGAAATGCTGAGTCACAGCCTGAAAAAGTGATTGAGCACCTGATGGAAAGGCAGGGCCAATCCAGGGAAGCTCAGGTGCATGCAATGAACCTGAGTGACCAGAAGAGGTAGAGCCAGGATCCACCCCTTCTCAGACCTCATTTAAAGGTTGAGAGTGGAGGGAAGGGTATCTTGTTGGAGGTTACTGCCTACTGGAGGTCTTATAAAGGTAAGCAAAGTTTTTCTTTCTTTTTTTTTTTTTTTTTGTATCCATACCTGCTGTATTTGGGGTTGTTCTCATTTGCCACTCTGTTACTATTGCTGTATTTTCTATCACACTACACCATTACAGGGTTAAAAGCTTAATTGCCAGCTGTGTTAATGCAAATTAAGAGTGTAGAATCAAAAAAGTACTGGGAAGAGGGATACACCTAGGAATATCCCTTGAGTGGGGTGGCATTAATGATGACTCAAAAGTGGCAAAGGAGTTATTGAAATTTGGGCAGCCTACAGATCTTGGCATTTGTCTTAATACCAGAAGTCTTTATTAAATGTCAGTGAAGCTTCTAGCCATCTGGTTCTGAACTCCAAAGCCAGTCTCTGCCCTGATTGCTCATGGTGTAGGGGTAAGTCTCTTCCTTACCCCCTTGGATTGGTTTCAAGGGGAAGATCATTAGGACTACGGATGCATTAACTGAAAGGAGTGAGCTTGTTAAAGCACAGATGCACTATGGGTTGTTACAAATGAGCCTAGGGCCAGTCTGAGGAGCCATGGCTTTAATCCACTTTATATTTATTACCTAAACCTAGAGCTAAAACTAAACAGTTACTGAATAACCAGAAGAAAATCAATTCAAATATATGATGAGAGTGGTTTGTATTGGCTTGCCTATGTGGTGGACAGTCATACTCAACCGAAGTCCTGATCTGTGCCCAAAGGGGTTTTAGGTTATCACTATGAAACCACGATGGATGAAAGTTTAGCAGCAAATGTGTGCATTCCTCTCTCCCATAAGTACTCTTACAACTCAAACACTGTAAGCAAAATAGCTCAAAATTCACATACACTTCTTAAAAATAGGTGCTCTGCAATAAAAATAAATAAATAAAAATAATTTAAAAAAAAGGCAGTTATGTACACCTAGAATGGCATAAAAAGAGAATACAACAAAAGAGCAACAGAACAGCATTGTAAGTATGGCAAACAATTGCAGAGAAATTTCTTTAAAAGCTGTTTTTCCTTGTTACATAATTAACTGGAAACACCAGGTAGTGCACCCAAGCTATGGATTTCAGTGATTAGTTGGGACCACACTGCTCTTCTTCTCTACCCTCCATATGCATTGAGAGGATGAGAAGAGAGAAGGAAGTTTGGTCATTTTGAAAACACCCAATGAACAGGTATAAAAGAAACACTGTCTCTTTGCTGTACAATAATGCATTGTGGGGTGGATGAGACTGGAAGTCAGCTCAGCTGTGTGCTGCTTGGGAGAGCTGGGGTTGGGCAACACATGTGAATAGCGGCAGCCTCATCTGGCCCGGGTGTCTGAGAAAGTGGTTCATTGGCTCAGCATATCTATAATTATACTTAATTTTGGTCAGAGACATTTATCTTTCTCTTGCATAAAACTCTCACAAATGCAGTTAGTAAAGCACAACATTAGCATGCACCCAGATCTCTCACTAATGTCAGGAATCGAACCAGCTGGTGACTTGATGAAGGTAAATGTCTGTGCTGCATCTCGTGTGCTGATGTATGCAGGCTTTGGGAGCCAGATGGGATAACCTTTACGGCACTCTATGTATGCAGCTCCAGCAGCCAAAGTGGACAAGAGTATAAAATTCCCTGCAAGAACACAACCTTCATCTTCGTGGCCAAGCATCTATTTGCGCAGGACCTTTGATCTGATGAAGACAGCTGTCAGACCTCTCAGGGAGCCATGCTTCATGAGTAGCCATGATATTTAGACCCTATGACCTTTTAAGAAGTGTAAGATTTGGTTTAAAGGGCAGCTCTTCTTAAATAAATGACTCTGAAACCTCTTAGGTCAAATTTAAAATTAAAAAAAAAAAAAAGCCATAATGGACAGACATAACGTTATTTTACTATAAGGAGATTAATCATAAATATCTGAAATAGATTTGCAAGTTATGTTTATTTATGATGTGTTCATATAGCACTGTGCACGCCCTTATCTATTATCCAGATCTCAAGGAGTTACTTAGTGCAAATAAATCAATACAGTTCATTGATTAAATTACATAAATACTCCTGGAACTCGAACAAGTAGAAGTTTCTGCAGTCATTCCTCAGGTCTCTCATTTCTGGGATGGGAGCTGGCAAATTGTGGTCTGAAGAAAGCCAAGAAGGGCCCCTGCAGTTGCACTCCTGTGGCTGCCCAGACTTTGTGGTGTCATTGTGCAAGTTCTGGGTGATACAGTTCTCAAGCAAGTAACTGGTGCATGCTGTAGTCCATGTGAGAGGAGAGATGCTGCTTTGCCCTCTTTTGACCAGTCTGTAGATATCCACACAGTGTGTGGGACTGCTTTAGTGATAGGGCTGATGCCTGGCTGCAGGCTGAGCTGATGCCTGAATGCACACAGCACTGAATCACAGCAAGAGGCACCCACAAAGTCACATCCCTGCTTTCCTTCATCTCCTTCTTTTAAAGCGCTTCATGCTGTCAGATCTTGCAAATCTTGACCAAGAAGTTGCATGCATCTGGCATCTCTCATCCACCTTCTCCATCCACCTGTTGCTGCCTGGTTCCGTTGGTGCTGGAAGGTACAATGGCACTAAGCATGTGAAACCACATTATATGTATGAAGATATCAGCCCTTGAGTGTGTCACATTGAACATCCTGAGTTAACTGACATTTTGGAATGACTCTTTGTGTCTCTACTCCTTATCCATACAGTAGTAATGCTTCTGGTATGCCTTACTGAGCTTCAGAGAGACTAATTAATTAATTGTTTGCGTGTGAAATAAGCAAACACAATTGCAGTAATGAGTTTCATGGAAAAGTCCAGGTGGAAAGAGTGTTTCATCTTTACAGTAAGGCTAAGCAGAGTGTGGTGAACAAGGACTGGGGCTGCACATTGACTGACGGGATAGAAACAGATTAGTGAATTGCTGCCCATTGATTTGCATCAGGCAGTCTGCTCAGTGATGGAGGCAAGGCCCCTATGGGGGGGGGGAAAAAAAAAAAAAAAAAAAAAAAAAAAAAAAACCAGCATTTGATCATATAATGAGCCACCCCTGGAAGCCCAGCAAAGGAGCTGTGTTTCAGGATGTGGCTTTTTCTGCTCTTTGCATACTTGAATCTGTAGGTTTAACACTGTCGCATAAATGTGTTTGATAGCTTATATAAATCAATGGAAATTCTAAAAAGTTTATTAAGCTTATCTGTACTATCACAGCTGTGTGCTGGATTGGGTCTTTTGAAAGTGCATTTGTTAAATGTGCAATGGTTCAAATTACCCTGACAAACACAAAACAAAGATCTTGCATAATTCAACACGTTCGCCAAAGATAAGATTTTACATGTCATAACAACACGTACCCACAGACTTATGAAAAACTCACCCGTAATTTAAAGTGTCACTGGAATTGCTTTGCAATTAGGGCAAGGTCTTTAGAAGGCTCCCTGTGGAAGCTGAAACTGCTGTGACAAAGATCCAGCTGAATACGTACCAGCAAAATGCAAACATCAGAAACTGTACGTGCATTTTATCATAGAGTTGGAACTGCCTGTGGCATTGATGCAGCTTCTGGTAGTGGGATTCCCTCACACAGCCATTGAATCTTGATGTTGTGTGATGTTTCGGTCTCCAGGACTGTAAAGAGAGAGAAGACTGCTGTAAGAGGACAGGATGAGATGTCTGCAGTGATGTAAGTAAGCAATACCTTGATGTTAAGACTGCTCACACACACACACACACACACACACCTCTGCACAAGCAGTAGGTGTGAGTTATGCTGCTTTTATAGGGAGAGGGCTGTTGACTTTGGGCTCTGCACACTGAAATGCGGTTTAAGGGCCAGCTTTAGGTTACTCATTGATTGTTGGGACACTGCAGTCCTGCCAGCTCTTTCCCACATCAGGCCAATGCAAAGAGCCACGCTGAGAGGGAAGAACTGCATGCTGCAAGAACTGGTAGGACCTAGAAATGTCTTATCCTTCATTAACTTGTGTGTTCAGCGGAGTTTTGCAAAAAGGGAAGAGGAAAAATGAAAAGCGGATGGCAGGGAACATCTTAGTGACATCTCACATCAAAGAACAAGGAGATATGAGTTATTATTTAGACCTGTCAAGTCTCTGCTGTACCCAGAGGCAGACAGCAGGCGTGACCTACTTGCAGAATTAAGAATCCACCAGGAACTGGGTTTCAGGATTCAGGAGGGAGTCTAGCCTTGACATCTAAATTTCTGTTGTGAAATCCAGCCCCAGATTGTGATGGCTTAAAATGCTGCTTTGAGATTCATGCTAGAACCACCAGTCTCCTGTCCCGGTTCCTGGCAACTCCTGGAGCTGTGCAGTTTGAGGTGCTTGAGCTTCCCTGACACCCCCGGTCACTTGAGTGGGCAGGAGTCAGCAAAGGTACATAAGCTTTACATTCACAAGAGCAAAATTCAAATGTTATCCTCTGATAAAATGAAATCCAGAGGGCCTCCAGAAAAAGCAGAAGGGGTGGAAGGATGTCACACTGTGGAGGGACGTTGGGACTACTGGTGATGGAGGTGAAGTATGGCCCCAGCAATGCCATGAAGAGGTGTCTTCAGCACTGCTGGTCCTTCTGAGCACACCTGGAGAGATTGCTCTGGTGTGGTGAATTGCAGCAAAGGGTATGTGATTGATCTACTGTGTCACACTGAGTTTGGAGACCTACTCAATCTGCATCTATTTGATTCGGGTATTAGCAGCTGGGTAAGCTCAGCCTGAAGAAGTTGATGGTACTCCAGAGTTAGGAAGAAGGGAGGGAAAGGGGGGAAATGGTATGCTGAAAGTACTGGAAACCTGGAGCTGAGTGTGTGTCTTGAGCCTCAATGGATGTAACTTCAGGCTCTGCTCTCTGATACAGATGCTAGGAAAAGTCTGGACACCACAGGAAGTCCAGAAACCCAAGCTAGGGGAAGTTTCCAGCAATTGACAAGGTTCTGAAGGCTTGCTGGGGCAAGGAGCCAAGCACACCAGGCTTGTGGCACTCTGCTAAGCCTGATTTGTGGCTGCTGCCAGTCCTGCTGTACTTACTGCTATTCTACAGACTCATCATGTTTCCAGCTTCCCCCTCCTATCCAGCCCCTCAGATTTTATCATCTGATAAAAAGTAAACATGAAAACCAGAAGCACCAAAGTAGCAACTAAAAGCTCTCCGGATGGAGAAATGCTGAACAAAACAACAGTGAACCCACTGCAAATCTCAAATAGGTCCTAAACTTCTTACTTTTAAGCTTAGTTGATTGATCTCATAGTGAAGAATTTATGAATCTAATTGTACCAGTATCTTGATACATGTTCACAGCCTTATGTTTACACTAAGTTCATTGCACCACTGCATTTGGCTGTGCAAAGCCATCCACCAAACACAGGTTCCATAGGAGGTGCAATATATATATATATACACATATGTATATATATATATATATATGCCCATACAAATCAGACTGTCCACACAAGTAAAAAGGGAACGGCCATGCACACCCCAGTGCTCACAGCTGAGCAGAACTGAGTTCTGCTCCACAAAACACAAACACAGCAGAGGAAGGAGTTGAAGAAGAGGACTCATTCACGTTCCTGTGAGTATTTAAGGCAAGGTGGGCAGTGAGCAAGCTCAGTGGATATCAATAGGATTTTTCCATTGGCTTCTATGACCTTTGGTGCAATGGGATGTCCATGGAGTCCTCCTCGCATGGCTCTATTGGCTGCTGCATGGTTTGAGGCGCCGAGTGAGAGACTTTCTCGTGCTTTTGCTACAGCCCCTGGGGACCACTTACACCTGGCAGCCAACAGCCATATATCCTGGAGCCACCAGGGAAGGATCTTCCCAGTGTTTCATGTCTAACTGCTGAATTTGTACTTCCTTTGTTGCTGCTGTAGCTCGAGGCGCAGTGTGTGTGAGGACCGGGCACGGTGAGTCAGCCTCTGCCAGCACCAGGGCGGCTGTTTCCCAGCAACGGGAGATGGGAGAAAAAGGAAGCAAACTATTCCCCAGAGCTCGTGCCCTGTAAACAGGTTCTCTCCCTTCCAACAGCCTGCGTGCAAACCTGCACACGCACGCTGCTGCTGCTACCAAAAAAAAAAAAAGGTTTGGTTCGATTGTTTGTTTCTGGTTTTGTTTAAGTTGTTTATTATTTTGAATGCAAAACGCAAAGCAGGAATTGACAGCATCAAAAACAAGCAATCTGGGACAGCCACGCATGCCCTGGAAGTAGGGAGAGCGAGAGACATAGCAATTATTTTTAAATCAAAGGATAACTATTAGCAGTCCCTCACAAATGCATCCACTACACTACAAAGCTGAATTCAGTCATAGCTTTGGGCTGCTGCAGGATGATGAGTTACACAAAAAGCAGCAAGAAGCAGCGTAGGGGGTTTTATCAGCTCATCTGGTGTGTTCTGTATTTGGGGACATCCCTCTGCAGCCTCAGGGGCTCAGTGTTCTGTCTCTGTCTGCAGCAGAAGGCTCAGACACGCTGCTGGAGATGCCTTGTTTTCCTCCTCCTGCTCTCCTCTCCCATCCCAGGAGGAAAACTGCATCTGAAGCTCCTTTCTGACTGCATCAGAACCGACATCCCTCGGTTATCCTCACCACATCTAAAAATAGAGCGGGGAAATCCGCCTGAGATCAAAGCGATTCATTTCCAGAGCGCCGTGTGAGGACAGAGCTCTGCGATTCTCATTCCAGTCACATCCGCACCATCCACACAGCAGGGACCATCCGCACGGCCCTGCGGCTGCGTGAGTGGGAAAGAAACCATTGCACAGGGGCTGCTGGGGCCACAGAGAGAGCTTTTCCTTCTGCAGGTGCAGCAGACGGCGTTCCCCCGTGGGCTGAGTTGTAGCAGCCCAGCATAAAGTGGAGATAGCAGAAAAAGATGCTCAGCATCAGCACTTGCAGAAAGGAGCGCCCAGCCAACCCATCGTAGCTGGTGCTGCAGGATCCATCTGGTGCTGCAGAGCTTTCCTCTGAGCTCTTCCTGCGAAGCCTGGAGGTTTAGTGAAGCAAAAGCACACTGCTCAGTTACGGCACAATGGCCCGGAGCAGCTAAACCTGTGCTTGTTTAGTGCAGATCTCAGGCTGATCTGGCCACTTACCCAGCGGATACACTGGGCTCTAGCTGGGTTGTACCCCAGGAAAACATCTGGATTTTCTTTCAGTACATTAAAAGATTTATTATGAATAAAGTTCTGCAGGGGAAAAAAAAAACAGCATTAATTATAGTAAATCAGTGATCTGGGAGGCTTAGAAAGTAGAAGATGAATTAGAACAGCTGCTGTTCCTCCCCCAAAAATATGTAAAAAATTCTTATTCCTTGATTTCTGAACAGTGTTTGTATTCCCACCACTTTCCTGACACGGATGAAGGGTGGGATTCAGCCCAATAAATCACTTTCCAAAGCTTCCCAGGTGCTACGCAGGCCAAGGAGGAGCTGCTGAATTCAGTTTTGGCTCCAAGAAATCCCTCTCCTGGCAGAATGCTGCTTAATCCCAGACACAGAGGGGAGCAAGGGATGGAGGAATCAGTTCTGGAGGCCAAGACAGATTTGGGCAGCTGCATTTGGGGCAGCTGCACTGAGTGTGCAGAGAATACATTAAGCAAAAATAAATGGTCTTTGTCCTTACACAAGAACTTTGTCTGTCAAATATAATTACTGGATAACACATAGTTCATCACCAAGCTGAACTAAACTGACCCACGGCTTTCCAGTTTTGCCAACATCTTTCAGCTGGGCAAAACAGTGAACAGCTTGTTTCTCAGATACTGCTCCTTTTCTTTACCTCATGAATTATGCCCTGGAATTTCACTGTCCATAAACGTGAAATCACTTCTCAGCCTACATTACAGCAGTGCAGCCAAAAGCTGCACCCATCGGTTCACCAGGGGTTCTGAGGTGAGCAAGCACTCTCAGACACCCATGGATGGGTTTTGCCCATTCATTTTGAAGCGTGCTACTGTTCATGAACAATCTAAGACAAAGATTTGATGCTGCAGGGGAGTGGCAATGACTTATCACATTTTGATATAGCTTTATTGCCTTATCTGTTTGGAACACTTAAATATTTGTGAGGCCCTACTTCAGAAACCCCTTTAAGCAATATTTTCTCCTCTAAAATTTTTTGTAGCACTGATACAGACATTCCAACCAATTAAATGAAAATGTGAAGATTATTTTTAACCAGTCTAAGTGAGGAACTGTGGAAGGACTGGTGACCATTGAAAGGTCTGAGGAAAGTTTAGGCATTTATTTTAGATCCTTCTCTGTTAGCACTGCAAATGCCACATATTTCCTAGCTTTGACAGTGAGATTTGAGCTTGTCCCAGAGCAGCCTTCAGGTGCACTGGCTGCAAACTGCTTGGTAATTGCAAAGAGAATGTGCAAACAAGCTCTAATTGAGAATGTCAGAGATTCCCAACTGGCTTACATGCAAACATCATCAGACTAGACATTCAGCATGTCCCTTCTCCCGCCCTACATATGAATGGTGATGGGGGCACAACGTGTTTCCATGTGCCTGTATAAGCCCACCAAAATACAGTCCTTCTGGAGATGCAGATGTTCCACACCTACACATCAGCCAGCAGAATAAAGGTCTATTCTGGTGTTCCAGCATTCTTGCTTATTACTAAATTTCATTATATTGCCTTTCATAAATAGGATGCTAAAGGCTTGGGAAAAATCAATGCTAATAAGAACTAAACTGTAAGAACATTAAATTGGAGCAAAGGGGCATTTTGCCTTTGATTAAGTCATTACCAACGCCCCTGCAGAATCAAATATTTCTCCCTTAAATTGTTCTAGAACATTAGTGTGCTTTGAAATGCATGGACAAAGAGTATTGTTCCCTCAACAGAGAAGAAAAACAATAGATAATTAGGACAGTGCACTCCCTTAAGCTAAATAGCACCTGGGACAGAGTAGAAAATGCAGTAAGGGAGAGAACTGAGACAGGTTTGGAATTTAGGATTAGTCAACGTCCTAAACCTGAGAAAAGCAGGTAATGGTCCTCCTGAGAGTTTAGAAGCAAATGCATCTAAACCACTCCTGAACAATCTAACCTCCACTGATAAACAATCAGCAAGTTTGCAGCAGTCTTGCTTCTGGCATACATAGCCCATGGTTGTAGGATGCCCTGGAGATCAAGCACAGGTCTTCATCATGGGGCAGGGACTGAGACACGCTCTGCTCTCATGTTGTGCTGGTCAAGGATGGGAGCAGTCCAGGTCTGCTCTTGTCCAGTCCTTTTTCTTTCAAGAATAAATGCATCAATAAATAAATAAAGAAACTGGGTCTTGGCTTTGATAATCCTCTGTGGTGCCAAGGAATGTATTTATGCTGGCATAGCTTTTGTCTAGCCATGAAACCACAGCCGTACTGACCTTCCTCTGCCTGGGCAAGAGCCACTGGATTGTAGATTGTCAGCAAGCAGTCACATTTCAAATATATCAGTAAAACCCAATGGGAAACGACTGGCCCATCATATTAAAGCAGCTCTCTCCAATATGAAATGAAGATGAGCCAGGCACGTTGTATTAAAAGCTTGTTTCCTCCAAACCTACTACCACTGCCAGAGCCACATTGCCACTCAACTCCAGGCAGAACACTGCACCAAGGACAACAGCCCCCACCACAGCACTGCCACTCTCTCCCCACATCACAAAGGGTTTGCTGCCGGCTCCAGAGAGCAGTCAGAGCTCAGTGACACAGAACACAAATAGTTTACATGTTTCATTTTAACTCGAGGAGAACTTTTATCAACCATGCATACAATTTTTGAGTTTAGCTTTAACTGAAGCAGAATCTTCGTTAACCATTTTTTATCCCTGATCACTCAGCAGTCCCTAACAGGGCTGCCTGGATGGCAGCCAAGTGAAAATTCACACTCATAAATGCTCTGTCCCACTTAAAACTGCCTGGTGGCAGCACCAGCTACTCGCTGTAGGTGTCAAAGCCGCGTGCCCAATTACAACTCCCAACAATCGCAGCGAGGAGCAGGCAGATGGCTATCATATGCTGAAAGTATCGTTTCTCCACAAAAGCACCATTTGTTGGCCCTGTCAAATCAAATATTTTCCTGTTTGATTTTGTGTGTAAGAGCAAATTGGGACAACCTGTCAGTGCTGCAGACACGTTGTGCTGGGTGCTGGCAGGCAGAGTTCTTAGCTGCAGCGTCCCTTGGCACCTTGGCTGGCAGCCATCAGCCCACCAGAGATGCCATCTCTGTGCTGAGGCAGTTCCTAGGGCTGTCTTGACCTCCTGCATGACACCTCCATAGGATTGAGCAGCCTGAGAGAGGCATTATTTCTTTGCCAGTGTCAGGGCTCACGCGGTTTCAGTCTGTCACTTTCACAAGGGGAGATTAAAATAAAACTGCAGTCGATATTCCTTTATGATGAGAGC